CCTGATGGTGCTGTGTGATTCTGTCAATGTACATTTCACTTTACATTGTCATTATCACATCATTGAGACGTTTCAAAGCGCTTCACAGAATATACTGTAAATATATAACATCCTGCTCGCTCCCTCCGCTCAACAACAAAACAACATCAACAAGAACAACAACAAAATTACATATGTAAAGCGCCTTTCACGTTGGGAGGACGTCCCAAGTTGCTGGACAGACAGAGTTACAGACCTGAGTTGGGGGTCGGGGTCGGGGAGGGTGGAGGGCAGAGGGGAAAGCAGGGGATCGAAAGCACAGTCCAAGAGGAAAGTCTTGAGATGGGTCTTGAAGGAAGCGAGGGAGGAAGTGAGATGGAGGGACTGCGGGATGGAGTTCCAGAGGATGGGGACAGAGTGGCAGAAGGCCCGCCCACCAATAATGGGGCGAGTGAGGTAGGGGACATGAAGCAGGCCAGAGCCCGCTGAGCGGAGGGAGTGAACAGGTTGTTAGGAGGTTAGGAGGTCGTAGAGGAGAGTAAGACCATGGGGGGCTTTGAAGGTGATGTGGAGTGGAAGGATAATTGAGGGTCAAACAAGACCCCAAGGTTCCAGACTGGCTCAGCCATGGACGGTGATGCTGTCAGCGCCTGAGGTGAGGAGGCGCTGACGGGAGCCAATCAGGAGAGCCTCGGTCTTGTTGACGTTCAACTGAAGAAAGTTACCTCTCATCCAGGACTTGATGTCTGACGGACATTCTGTCAGGACAGCAGTGGGTCCTGGAGTCAAGGTTGGAGGCAGAGAGGTAGAGTTGGGTGTCATCCGCATACATGTGGAAGTTGACCCCATGTCTGCGGATGATGTCACCAAGAGGGAGATATAGATATTGAAGAGGAGGGACCAAGGATAAAGCCCTGAGGAACGCCGAACGAGACGGTCCGGGGGCGAGAGGAGAAACCGTTTGTGGAGATGAAGTGCAGGCGGTGTGAGAGGTACGATCTGAACCAATGAAGGACAGCGCCGTGGAGGTTAAGGTGAAAAGAGAGGCGGTGGATGAGGATAGAGTGGTCGACGGTGTCGAAAGCAGCAGAGAGGTCAAGGAGGACGAGGAGGCAGAGGGAGCCCTGGTCGCAGAATGTCATTTGTCACCTTGACCAGGGCTGTTTCTGTGCTGTGGGCGGCACGGAAGCCCAATTGGAGGAGATCGAGAAGGGAGTGGCGGGAGAGGAAGGAGGGAAGCTGAGAAGCAACAACTCGCTGTTATGTTATAAGTAATTAATAGTTATAAGTAATTAAAAGAATACATCAGAATGATACTTACGTATTGACGATAGTTCACAATGATTTAAGTTGACCAAACTAAATGCTGCAGAAGAGATACAGGAGCAATATCGAATTTAATGTCCAAATATATGTCCATCAAAAGGTATCCAAGTATTGGTGTACAGTTCCCAATTCGATATCACCCAAAAGTTTCCAGGAATTATTGTACGTTGAGAGTTGTTTAAATCATAGTCTTGATCTTCCTTATTTAGAAGCTGAAATATGTTTCGCGACTCCAAGTTCCAATTTCTTCCTTCTCTTTCGAATCGATCTCCGCTCATACCGGTGATGAGGTGACCTTTCACCTATTGTGTTTTGCAAGATGGTTCCTTTGTAAAAACAAATGCAACATAGCTCTCTCCAGCTGCCGACCATTTTTCCATGAGAAACTGACTGATAAGGAACGAAAACAATTTGCTGTTTATAAACAGTTTGTTGGTTGTTGTCTTTTGTTTCTCTTCCTCCTCCGTTCCTCTGGTTCCCTCCATTCCTCCGGCTCCGGTCTGCTCCACATCCCCCGCCCCAACCGCCCTACCATCGGTGGCCTTCAGCCTCTCAGCCCCGAGGCTCTAGAACTCCATCCCCAGTGCCTTTGCCGCCTCCTCCCTTTCCTCCTTCAAGGCCGGTCTCAAGACCTTTCTCTTTGACCGAGCCTTCAGCTCCCCTCTCGACTCTCTACCCCCTCCTCGCTCCCTCCCTTCCCTCCCCTCACCCTGACCATTTCCCCCCAATGCTCAGGTCCTGACCCAACTGTACAGCGCCTTGGGACGTCCTCCCGACGTGAAAGGCGCTCTATAAATGGAATCTTGTTGTTGTTGTTGTTTCTACGAAGCTAGTCATAACCAACTCCCCTCATTTGAGATTGATTATATATCTCAAATATATAAACATCGTAAATGTAATTTGAAATATTATTTTACACAGTAAAATAGGAGTCCTGTAGCTCAGTGGTTAGAGCACTCGCTTTGCAAGTGAGAGACCTGAGTTCAATTCCAGGCAGAGGGCCAAACCTTGGGCAAGTTTCCTTACTCCACACAGAGCCTAATAATAATCCCTCCAAAACCAAAGATAATAATAAATTGGTCATTTTCAATCCACGACTGTTTGTGGGACATTGCTGTGCGCAATTGGCTGCCGCGTTCGCCCACAAATATACAGTCAATTCACTTTACAGTGTGTTCTGTGAAGCGCTTTGGGATGTCTTCCCGGCGTGAAAAGCGCTATATCAAATGCACGGATTATTATTATTATTGTTAATTACAGAAATCCTACAGAAGTCCGGAACTTTAGGAGAGAAACTCCCTTCTTATTATTATTATCATCTTTGCTCACGATGGAGACTTGAATGTAGAAAATAAATTGTCACTTCAATCCACGACTGTTTGTGGGACTCTGCTGTGCATAATTGGTTGTTGCGTTTGGACCAAAAAAATATACACTCAATTCACCTTACAATTTATTCTCTGAAGCGCTTTGAGACATCTCGAAGATGTGATAAGGCGCTGTATCAAATGCAATGATTATTATTATAATTATTCTCTTTTCAGGTAGGGAAGCTCCCTTCTCTTTCCCCACTGTGACTAGGCCGACAATCCCCTCGATTAAAAAAATAGATTGGTAACAATACCATCACTACGTTCAACAGCAATCATTTGTGACGTGCTTTGCGAAGGACATGATGTTCAGGTCAAACCACATCAAATGCAGAGAACGCTGGCCTGCTTCATGTTCTCCGCACTATCTGCTCCATTATCAGCAGCCAGGCTTTCAGCTATTCTGCTCCCACTCTCTGCAATTCCATTCCAGAGTCCCTCCGACTCGCTCCCTCTCAAGGTGAAAGGCGCTGGATCAATGTCAGTTGTGTTGTCTTGAATTAATAATGTTTTATTTCCCACCTCCCATCTTGGCATCAGGCTCTGTCACTGTTAAGCTCTCCGACACCATGCCCCGCCTGAAGGGTGCTATATGAATGCCCTCAACTCGAGCTGACTCTCCCTCAAAATGCCCCCCTCACTGCAACTCTCCCGCTCTGTCCTGCTCTCTCTCCGCCCACTTCGCCTCCTATCTCTGCTTGACCCCCACTGCCTCCCTCTGCTCCAGCCTGGGAATCCTCCGCCGGGCTCATCGTGGCACTCGGTGCTGTCTGTCCAGCAGCAGCCACACCGACTGCCCCATTCCTCACTGCCCCACAAGCCACCCCGGACCCTGACCCCGGGGGCTAACCTCTCCTCCCTCATCTGCATCCCCACCCACCCTCCCAACCATTCCACTCCCCCCTCCCATCCCGCCCATCCCCCTGCCAACTGTCCACTCCGCAATGGCCTTCAAAACATCCGCTCCATCTCCAACAAGACCCTGGCCATCAGTGAACTCATCCTCGATGAGAACATTGACATCATGGCACTCACAGAAACCTGGATCACCCCGGGTAACACCTTCCCCCCGCACTGAGGCTACACCACATGGCTATACCTACCACTATGCCCCACACCCCAACAGTTGTGGCAGTGGTTTGGTCCTCATCTCCAGGGTGTCACTTGCCTATCCCCCTACTCCACCGGCTCATTCCCATCTTTTGAACACCTTACCCTCTGCCATCCCTCCCACCTCTCTCTGAAAATTCTCTTAGTTTTCTGCCCCCCAAAATCCTCCCCTACCTTTACCTCTGATCCATCTCCACTCTTCTAGCTTCCCTCTCTGCTGCGCTGGAGTCCTCTGAACTCCTCCCCCTCTGGCCCACCTCTCGCTGCACTCACTCTTCTCCACAGCACCCTCTCCACCACACTCAACACCCTTGCCCCCCTCACCTCCCAAACTGCCTCCTCTTCCCGATCCTCACCCTGGTTCACCAGCCATCTCCACTCGCTTAAGGGCCAGGTGTGGGCTGCCGGAAACTGCTCTGGTCAGCAGAAATTACATCCTGACCATGTGTGACCAGGGCTCCCTCTGCCTCCTTGTCTTCCTCGACCTCTCCGTCATCTTTGACACCGTGGACCATTCAATCCGCTTCCACTACCTCTCCTCTCACCTCAACCTTCAAGGCTCTGTCCTTGACTGGTTCAGGTCCTATCTTTCACACTGCCTCCACTTCGTCTCTGCAAATGGCTTCTCTTCTAACCCCCACACCATCTCGTGTGATGTTCCTCATGGCTCTGTCCTCGGTCCTCTCCTCTTCACCCTCTACACGCTCTCCCTTGGTGATGTCATCTGCAGACATGGGGTAAATTTCCACATGTATGTGGATGACACCCAACTCTATCTCTCTGCCTCCACCCTGAACTCCAGGACTACTGGCATCCTGACCGACTGCCTGTCCGACATCAAGTCCTGGATGAGGGCCAACTTTCTCCAACTCAACGTCAGCAAAACCGAGCTCTCCTGATTGGCTCACGCCAGCGCCTCCGCACCTCGGGCGCTGGCAGCATCAGGCCACTAAGCCGGTCAGGAACCAGGGTGTCTTGTTTGACCCTGAACTATCTTTTCTCCCCTACATCCGCACCATGACCGGCACTGCCTACCATCACCTCCGCAACATTGCCAGACTCCGCCACTGCCTCACCCCTCAGGCTGTAATTTTGTTGTTGTTGTTACCGTGTTTTGTTGTTGTAGTTAGCTTCTGACACGAAACACCGCTGTACAAATGTAATTTGTTGTTCTTGTTCTTGTTGTGAACTTAGGTCCCCACAGGACAGGACAGGATGATAAACAGGAGCACGCTGTTGAACAGTACCTTGGAGATGCTCACTGACAAGACCATGCTGTATGGCCTGCCTACTATCTATTTGTTGGTCTTTATCATCAGCACTCCTCTGAACATCATCTCCCTCTGGCTCTTCTGCTGCCGAATGCGTCCGAAGACTCCAACTGTCATCTTCCTCATCAACCTGGCAGTCACCGACTTGCTCTACAGCCTGACACTGCCTTTCCAGGTGGGGTATCACCTGAGCGGCAACAACTGGCAGGTGGGCAGTGTCCTCTGCAGCCTGGTCACCCTCCTCTTCTATGGCAACTTGCACTGCTCGGTGCTGACCATCACCCTGATCAGCGTGGAGCGATACCTGGGAATCGTCCACCCTCTGCGCTTCTCACACCTCTGCACAAACAGAATGGCTGGCTTTCTCTGTCTGCTCACCTGGCTCTTTGTCCTCATCTGTAACTGCCCCTTCATCTACACTGACTTGACCATCTACATCCAAGACCTGAACATCACCACTTGCTTTGACGTGCTGCCCAAATCCATGTTCCCCGGGATGGTGTACTTCTGCTTGTACTTCGCCATGCAAATAATGCTGTTTTTCCTCTTCCCCTTCATCACCATGACTCTCTGCTACTGCAGCATCATCCGAACCCTGCTCAGGTCCCCCCCACAGCACGTCAGGGCATCCCACAAACATGTGGTCCGGCTGACCGTCCTGGTACTCCTGGTCTTCACCGTCTGCTACCTGCCTACCCAGGTCATCTTGATCATCCATATGGTCAAGGCCAATTGGGGAGGCTCCATCTACGTGGTGTACAAACTCTCGCTCACCCTCAACACTCTCAATGGCTGTTTCGATCCCTTGCTCTACTACTTTGCCTCCAAGGAGTTCAGGAGACATGTTCAGAGGTCCTTCTCGTGCTTCCCTGTCAACAACTACAATGGGACCTCAAGCCACATGGTGGAGTTAGTCAATCCCAGAGCGACTACTTAATGTTTAGTAACAATCATTGACAACAATAATAATCGTTGCACTTAATAGTAAGAAGACGTCTCAAAGCGCTTCACAGAATGCATGTTAAAGTACAGTGACTGTGTATTTTGTGGGTGAAACGTGGCAGCCAATTTTCGTACAGCAGTGTCTCGCAAACAGTTATGGAGCGATTTTATTGGGGAGATTGTTGGCCAGAACACCAGGAGAGAGAAACTCCCTTCTCTTTTAAAATAGTGCCAGGGGATCTTTAACATCCACCTGAACAAGCACAGATGGTTTAATGTCTCATCCGAAGGACGGCACCTCCGACAATGTACAATGCAATACCCCCCTAGCACTGCATTGGAGCGTCAGCTTCAACAACAACAAGATTCCATTTATAGAGCGCCTTTCACGTCGGGAGGACGTCCCAAGGCGCTGTACAGTTGGGTCAGGACCCGAGCAGAGGGGATTCCAAGGTCCGACATGGGGCTTGAACTCACAACCTGCTGACTGCGAGACGAGAGCGCTACCGCTGAGCCAGGCTGACACACGCTTGCACCTTTCACGGTCTTTAACCGTTTCCCTGGATTTTACTGTGAAGTGCAGTGACTGTGCATTTTGTTGCTATGTCACCCACAGCAGCATACTGCAAACAGGCGTACAGTGAGACCGATATTTATCTGGGGGATTGTTGGATTTCACTGTGTGAAACTCCCTCCTCTTTTCTCCCGGCTGGGCTGGCCTGTCATCGGCGGTGCTGTATAGTCCTGGGAACAGGACTACCGAGACCGCCACAGAGGGTTGACTGAGCTCTGACATTCCGTTGCCAAGCACGGCTCCTTGGAGCCAACTGAGAAGACTCCTCTCACCCTCTCCTAGAAAGTGCCTGCGGTACAGGGCAATCAATGGACAGAGGTTCGCAGGTCATGGCACTCCCTCTCGTGGTAGATACTGGGGTGACATTGAGCAGCCATGTGGCTTTGCTTAGTGAATAAAATTAACCTTAGAGACAGAAGGTACATCAAAGAGCAAGCATTGAATTGTCTGTTGTTCCGTGCACCTGTGTATAATAAACTCAATGAGTACTGTCACCGTGTTTTACTTTCCAGTGAAACCCTGCAATGAGGTACAAAACAATTTACATTTAGGCAGCGCCTGTCATGTCAAGAGGACTTAACACTGCTGGCTGGGCACCCGAGGTGAGGGTGGGAGCAGGGGGTGGGGGCGGGGGCGAAGATGTGGAGGGGTAAGGTGAACCAAAGCACGATCAGAAGTAGTTAGGAAGGGAGAGATTGACAATATAATATAATAATAATAACCCTTGCATTTGATATAGCGCTTTTCATGTCTTCTAGATGACTCAAAGCGCTTCACAGAATAGACTGTAAAGTGAATTGACTGTATATTTGTGGGCGAAATGTGGCAGCCAATTGTGCACAGTAGAGTCCCACAAACAGTCGTGGTTTGTTTTATTTTCTTGAGGGATTATTATTAGGCTCTGTGTGGAGTAAGGAAACTTGCCCAAGGTTTCACCCTGCCGGAAATCGACCCCAGGTCTCTCGCTTGCAAAGCGAGTGCTCTAACCACTGAGCTACAGGACTCCACTGATATGTGAGCGCAGAGGTGTCTGACACACGTGGAAACTTCAATAAGTGGGGTGCAAATCTCATCTTAATCTTAAAAGTCTTCAACTCAATAACGCTTACATTTGGCACAGCACCTTTCACGTCAGGAGGACGTCTCAAAAAAACTTCACCGGATTTCACTGTGTCGCGTAATGACTGTGTGCGTATCCTCGGCGATTGCTCTGCTCTCTCAAATTTATCTTATTGACGCGCGCAAAGGAATGCAAAAATTGGTGCAAACTCATTCATTTTCTCCTTCTGTTTAAAAGTGTTCGGTTCTAGGTCACGACCACTTGTTAGGCACTCTTCCTGACCACCTGCATCTGAAACAGCTGCAAGTAGGCACTGCCCTTCCGTTACTTGCTGAAGTGCTAATTCTCAGTAAACTGTCAGGGTTTCTCTTGCCATCACCAATCACGCAAGTATTTGCCCCCGGCTTTCTCAACCTCTCTCACGTCTAGTTTTTTATTTTTGATGCTAGTCAAGTCAATCTTCAGTATGATCCTCAGCTCAGGCTAAACCAGTGCTCAGAATCTTCACTGTTTTTTTTCACTGCTGTCAGTAACCTATATGGCTTCCTGTAGTGTCGTGTTGCAGCGCTCGCCTCTCAATAATCCTAGCATTTTTTGATTTTTTGATACAGCGCTTTATCACGTGTTTGAGACATCTCAAAGCACTTCACAGCATATACTGTAAAGTGAATTGACTGTATATTTTGTGGCTTGAAACATGACTTGCTCAACACATATAAATGCATATAAAATGCAAGTTGTCCTGTAGCTCAGTGGTTAGAGCACTCGCTTTGCAAGTGAGAGACCTGAGTTCAATTCCAGGCAGAGGGTGAAACCTTGGGCAAGTTTCCTTACTCCACACAGAGCCTAATAATAATCCTCCAAAACCAAAAACAATAATAAATTGGTCATTTTCAATCTACGACTGTTTGTGGGACATTGCTGTGCGCAATTGGCTGCCGCGTTCGCCCACAAATATACAGTCAACTCACTTTACAGTGTGTTCTGTGAAGCGCTTTGGGACGTCCTCCCGACGTGAAAAGCGCTATATCAAATGCAAGGATTATTATTATTATTATTATTAAGTTGTTATTCTTCTTGTGACCATTTCACAATGACCACTACAGTAACAATATTACCTTTGCATAGAGCCTTTCACATTGCGAGGATGACCCAAGGCACTGGACAGTCAGTGTTTCGGACCCGAGCTGGGGTTAGGGATTGGGAAAGGTGGAGGGCAGTGGGGGAATGAGGGAGATCGAAAGCACAGTTGAAGAGGAGGGTCTTGAGATGGGTCTTGAAGGAGGAAAGGGAGGGGATGAGGTGGAGGGACTGCGGGATGGAGTTCCAGAGTGTGGGGGCAGAGTGGCAGAAGGCCCGCTTTCCAATAGTGTGGCGAGGTGGGGGACGTGAAGCAGACAGGAGCCCACTGAGTGCAGGTAGCGGTCAGGTTGATAGGGGGTTAGGAAGTCACATAGGTAGGGGTAGCGAGGCCATGGAGGGTTTTGAAGGTGAGGACCAGGATCTTGAACTGTATCCTCTGTGTGATGGGAAGCCAGTGGAGTCGGGCGAGGATGGGGGTGATAGGGTCGCGGAGCCTGGTGCGGGAGAGGATACGGGCTGCAGAGTTCTGGATGATCTGCAGCCTATGGAGGGAGGAGTTGGGGAGGCCGACAAGCAATGAGATTGGTAGTCGAGCTTGGATGTGGTTACTGCGTGTATGAGAGTTTCGGTGGCCTGCGGTGTGAGACACTGGCGGAACCAGGCAATGTTGTGGAGATAATAATAATAATCCTTGCATTTGATATAGCGCTTTTCACATCGGGAGGACGTCCCAAAGCGCTTCACAGAACACACTGTAAAGTGAAATGACTGTATATTTGTGGGCGAACGCGGCAGCCAATTGCGCACAGCAATGTCCCACAAACAGTCGTAGATTGAAAATGACCAATTTATTATTGTTTTTGGTTTTGGAGGGATTATTATTAGGCTCTGTGTGGAGTAAGGAAACTTGCCCAAGGTTTCGCCCTCTGCCTGGAATTGAATTCAGGTCTCTCACTTGGAAAGCGAGTGCTCTAACCACTGAGCTACAGGACTCCACTATCTATTTGGAATAGATTATAAATAAACCTGGTGAATTGTTGGTTTTCTGTGTCCTAATCACCTCTTTTGTGAAGTGGGCATTTAAAAGCAAGTAAATCTTACAAAACAGGTTGTAGCTTTTCTGCAACATGACGTCTTCTGCAACATGAGCACCATTTTCTCCGAGTATAGGTTGTACTATTTCTCTTAATTATATTGATTGGACAAATCAAAAAAATTCTTGCATAAATTAACTATATAGTTTATACAAATGACCAATATACTTGGCCAATGTCACTGAAATGCATAAACTTATCCCCAGGAATTTGCAAATTCTCCTTAGGCCCATTGTTGATCTGCAACTGCCTGAGAACCTATGCAATATGTATAAGGACTATCCTCCTCGGGGAGGAGGTAAGCGGGGGCTTCAAGGTGACATGCCTGGCAATGGAACGTTGGAATCGAGCCAGCCCTCTGTGCCGGTCTCCAGTCCATTTCCTGAGCCAGGCGGGTCCGCAGTATTCCAGGGCACTCACTGCTGATGACAGCATAGCCCCAGCCTGGCTCATCGGCAGGACCTGGAAGGGCCGACCATTCACTGGGACCAAGAAATAATAATAATAATAATGCTTGCATTTGATATAGTGCTTTTCACGTCTTCTAGACGTCCCAAAGCGCTTCACAGAATATACTGTAGAGTGAATTGACTGTATATTTGTGGGCGAAACGCGGCAGCCAATTGCTCACAGCAGCGTCCCCACAAACAGTCGTGGACAGTCGTACTCTGCTTGGTTTTACTCTTTAAGCACGGTGTTAGGTTTCTGCAAAGTTGCCACCCAACTCAACACACAAAAAAATACGTTGCTTAATAGCACCTTATCATCTAAACATCTCAATGAACTTCATGGTAAAAATTATCAAGTATATTGAGTGTTTTTAGCAACACCTGCCACACCTATTTATGTACCCTGCAAGATCCAATGCAGAGCTCAAAGGTGCCAGACTAATTTATGCAGCACACAATAGGATTTATATTTAGCTCGAACCTTTCATGTCGAGAGAATGTTTCCAAGTGTTTCCACAGTTCAGCAGGGTGGTGGTGGGAGGCTTGTGTGAAAACATGTCTGAAAGATTAGTCAAAGAGATAATAATCTTTGCATTTGATACAGCGCCTTATCAATGTCTGTCATTGAGACGTCTCAAAGCCCTTCACAGGATAAACTATAAAGTGAATTGACTTTATGTTTTGTGAGCGAAATGTGGCAGCCAATTGCCCACAGCAGACCTTGTTTTATTGAATAGAGCCATGCCATCTTTAA